TCATCTTTATATTTAAGCAAATAAGAGAAATATTTAGCTAGCTTAATATCTCTAGTATATTCTAAGTAAAAATTAGCTTTACCAGTCAGATATAAAGTCAGAAAAACTTGTGTAATATTTTTAGGTATTTGAAATTTATTGATAGGATTTTTGTCTATGTAAGATCACAAAGTTAGAGTATTATTAATTTGTATTTAACTTATAGTATTAGTAATAGCATATTTTTTGTTAGATAATAAAAGTAGAGTAGAAACAAAATTACAAAATTACTAAATATTGAATCTTCAGAATTATCATTATCATTATCAAACTCTTCTATATCATTAAGCTATAGAAGATAATTATTAACCAATCTATTTTCAGGTAAGGATTACAAAACTTCTTTATCAATAATAATATTTTTATAGTAAGTTTATATAATATAAAATAATATATGATATCATAATAGTAAAAGTTACAAGAAGAAGTTACAGAAAGAAGAAAAAAAATAAAATAAGTAGTACAAATTACTAAAGTAGTTAAATACTAATCAAAATAAATGCCAAATGTTGGCTGAAATATAGTCTAATTCTGCTGATGGTTGCCAAAAAAATCAGCATTTTAAATAAATAGAAAATTAATTATCAATCAGCATTTATGTTAAAAATTGGTTAAAATTCAGTATAAATCAGCTTAAATCAGTCAATAATTAGCAAAAATCAATTAAGCAACTATTTATAAAATTGAAACTAGTAATATATGATTAAACACTTTTTTAAAAAATTTTAGTTTTGTCAAAAGTTTCATCTTTGTAATATTTTTATATGAATTAATATAAAATTATTATATTTTTTAATGTATTTTAATTCAAAAAATTTAGATCAAGTTAAATATAATTTTGGCAATTAAGTAAAATAATTTTATCATTAATCAAAAACTAATTTTGTTATTTCAGTTTTATTAATTTTGTCATATCAAATATTAAAAAAAGTAATTTTGTCAATTTTGTCAGGTATTACTAATTGAAATTAATAAAACTCATTTTTTTGATTTATAATTTTATTTTATTATTACATAATAAATTATTCAAAAAGAATATATATTTTATTTAAAAAAGATACATATGATTGTTAAAGATAAGTAAAAAATAAAGAAATCAGTTAAAATCCACTAAAAACTATTTCTAAAAGACTTACCTTAATGTATTCCTATAAAAAAGTAAAGAAAAAATAAAGAAAACAGTTAGAAACTACTAAAATACCACCTTCAAAAGGCTTACCTTAATGTATTCCTAAAAAAAAGTAAAGAAAAATAAAGAAAACAGTTAGAAAACTATCAAAATATCACTTTCGAAAGGTTTAACTTAATGTATTCCTAAAGAAAGTAAAGAAAAAATAAATAAAAAACAGTAGAAAACCCAAAAAATCACTTCTAAAAGGCTTACCTTAATGTATTTCTAAAGAAAGTAAATAAAAATAAAGAAAACAGTTAAAACCTATTAAAAATTACCTCAAAAAAAGCTTATCTTATCTTAATATATTTCTAATAAAAAAATAAAGAAAAAATAAAGAAAATAGTTAGAAACCACTAAAATACCATTTTCGAAAAGCTTACCTTAGTTTTGAAAAGATAAATTTCCTAAAAAAAGAGTTAAAATCATTTAAAAGTCACTTTTAATTTGGTTATCTTAACTCCAAAATAAGAATTTTCTAAAAAAAACAAGAAAAAAGAAAGGAAAATGCTCTAAAAGTCAAATCTGATTTGCTTACCTTAATTTCAAAATAAGAATTTCCTAAAAAAAAAAAATAAAAAAAAAAATAAGTTAAATTTCTATGTAAAAATCATCTCATTAGAAAAAAAAAGAAAAAATTATTTTTTCAAAATATTCTAAAAGTTTATCAGTTTTATATTATAAACTAAACTAAAATTTCAATTAATCTGAAATTTAAATATTATTTATACTATTTATCATAAATCTTTCAAATGGATGATTTTGCATCATTTAATTACAAAATCAATAGTATTTTGATTATTCTTTATGAATGATAACAAAAATATTTAAAAGAAATAATATCTTAATCATTCCTTATAAAATTGCTCAAAAGGAATGATGATTTGATCATTCCTTATAAACGATAATAAAATCATTTGAAAAAAACAATGATTTGATCATTTCTTATAAATGATAATAAAATTATTCTTTCAGAATGATAGTTTAATCATTCCTTAAAAATAATAAAAAAATCATTATTCTTTTAGAACTTTGATATATCATTCAAAAGAATGATAAAAAAACATTATTCTTTTGAAATGATAATGTAATTTTCCTTAATGATAAAAAATTGTTCTTTTTTAATGATAATTGAAAGAACAATAAAAAAATCATTTTTTAGAATGATGATGCATTGTTCCTTTGGAAACAATTTCTATTGTCTCTTTGGGAATGATAGTTCGTTCTTTTAGAAATGATTTTTATTATCTCTTTGGGAATAATAGTTTATTTCTTTTGAAATCATTTCTATTGTTTCTTGTATTATTCCTTTTGAGATGATTTCTATTGTCTCTTTTAGGATGATTCTATTATCTCTTTAGGACAAATATATCATTTTTTTTGAGATGATTTCTATTATTTTTTTTAGGACAATTCTATCATTACTTTAAGAATGAATATATTGTTCCTTTGGGAATGAATAAATTATTTCTTTAGGATGATTATCTCGTCTTTTTGGAATAATTACTCTCAGAATGTTTTTATAATTTTTGCAAAAATTAGTTCAATAGATTTCGACTAGTAAGATACAGTTGATTTGTTGTCAAATCTTGAGTCTAACTGAAATTTTGCTGAATATTATAACTGAAAGATATTAGTACCAAAATAATGCTAAATTATGTATGGTATGACAAATTACTATCGATTTTTGTAACTTGAGCTGAATTTTTGCCAAATCTCATGACTAAATTAGTTGAATATTTATTGAAAGGTCTTAATGCTAAAAGAATACTAAATTATGTGTGGTATAACAAATGACTATCAATTTTTGTAATTTAAGCTAAATTTTTGCTAAATCATATAATTAAATTGACTGAATGTTTACCAAAATGTATTAGCATTGAAAGAAATAATTTTGATTAATAAAATGAAATATTCCAGAAATAATAGAATTAGTAAAAAATTATAGGAAGTAGAATAGAATGTAAATCTGAAAAATAATATAAATATTAAATAATTTGTATCAAGAAGTCAATATTTATTTTCATTCTTTTTTTCTTCAAATAATAAAATAATAAATAAACTTTGAAATATAAATAAATAAAAGACTTTTATTTGAAATAACAAGTTATTGAATAATAAAATTATGAAAGTAAATAAAGTTATTAAGTTAAATAAAGTTAATAAAATTATGTTGAAATAAAATAAAGAATTAATTTATTAGAATTATAAAATGAAAGATAATAACTTAAGAAAATAATATTGAAAGAATAATATATTAATATAAAAATGAATATAAAAAAAGTAAGGATAATAAAAAAAATAATATAAAGAAAAGTAATGATAACATAAGAAATAATTGTAAGATAATAATAACATAAGAAAGAATTATAAGAAGAAAGATAGTAATGAAAAAAAATATTACAAAAAGAAAGTTAATAGTATAAAAAAGTTTTATAAGAGAATTATTATATAATAATAAAGAAATATTTAACAATAATATTGAAAAGTAATTATAAAATAAATGATCCTTGAAGTATAAGAAATGATTCTCAATAATTAAATATTAATTTGTAAAATAAATCCTTTTGATGATAAATGGCAGAAATAGTTAAGAAAGTACAAGTTATATTAAAGCTATTAAATTTAAAAATATCATAAATTTGTATAATAAGAGTTATAGTAACTATAGTATATTACAAACTTTAAAACATTTTGTAGAAAGTTAATAATATTATCACAGTATACATACTGTTGACTATAAAAACAATACATTAAAATGATGGAAAAGATTTAAGCTATTAATATTTCTTCTATTTTAATAAGCTTTTATAACTTTATCAAAACTTTGCTTGAATCTATATTATTCTCAGTAGAAAAATTTTTCATTAGATTTTTATTAAAATAATAGCAACAGTAGATCCTTATAAGTTTGATAGATAGAGATCATTCATTGTATACAAAACAAAGATTATTCATAAGGTCTAAACTTAATGTAAAAGTTTAGTAAAAGATTTTAATCTAATTCAAAAAAACAGTCATTAGTATTTTGAATTATAGATTCATCTTATCAATTGAAAAACTTATTCATATTTCCTAATACACAAATTACTTTTTTTATAATATATTTTATAAGCTTTATTAAGTTAGATCTTTTATTGTTTTGCAGTTTTAACTACTTTCTATCACATGTATATTATAACTCAGGTTGCTCAAAAATTATATTTACTCTTATTTATTATTTATGTAATATATCACAAAAAGGCATTTTTTTATTTACAAATTTAGAAAAAATTTAATATAAACAAAGAGAACAACTTACATTGTAATAGAAATAAATAATTAGATAAGTAAATTTTATTATAAATTGTTTTTTTTATTAATTAATAAATAAATAATATATATCAATAAATCTAATTATAATTAAATTTATTTTCAATATCAATAAAATCAATTAAATTTATTTTATAATATCAAAAAAACTCAATTAAGTACTGATCCTGATATGATCAACACTAAATTATTATGCAGATCTGGAGGACAAATTGCTATAAACTACTATGAAATGCAAATAATAGCCAAAAGTACTAAAAAGGAAAAACTAAATATTATGTCAAAAATAAAAAAAAACCACATAGCTTCCTTTGTATAACCCATTTGACCATAATATCAAAAAAAATTAGCTGGTTATTATTATATAAAAAAAAGTTTTACTTCTATCAGCACTGGATTTTGCCTACGAAAAGTATATTTGCTGATTTAAATATCTACTACTACATTATAAATTTAGACCAAAACCTGTATAAAGTATTTATTCATACATTTTTGAAGACTCTGCTTCTTCTAAAGCATAGAGTGAAGCTAAAGCTTTGAAGGTCCTAGTATAATTTGCAATCCAATTTTGAATAGTTACAACTTTGGAAATATCCTCATTTTCAATTTCTTCTTGTAAAACGCATTCAGTAAGGTTATTATGTATTTCTTGTGCAAACTTTTTTTTCTTTTGTCAATATTTCCATTTAAAAATATTGTTTCCATAAGCGTTTTAATTTTTAGTTTTATTCTTTTTACTACTTCTCGCTGATTTATTGTTTGTTTTTCTTTTAAAGCTCACCCTGCAAGAAAGATATTATATCTACAAAGAAATTGTTAAAATTTTAGTAAACAACTAGAAATACGAAACTGAAAAGTAATAAAGTAATAAATCTCACATTATGTTTTGTAAGAAAGATGTATTTTCTTTATTTGTAAGGTCAACCAAATTGATATTGACAGAAAAAATTATATTTTAATTAGAAATTTAATTAGTATATGTACCATAAAGTAAGATAATGAAAAAAGATGTATTTACTGAATTTATTTTTTGTCTTTTATTTTGAAAATTATCAACGCTTAATGCTAATAAAAAAATTTTTAAAATTACATCTGAAATTGATATTATATAAATTCTTACTTATTGGTTTTAGAATCAGAGTTATTCATTGATTAGTTACTTTAGAAGGCGTGGTAAAGCTAGGATTTGGTTTTGTAATGGGAATTTTTTCTATTTTTTCATTTTTGCTAGGATTATTAGTATTCATTCATTTATATGAGGCAAAGCACAGGCTAAGATATGACCTGCATTAAAACCATCAATTAGCTAGGACTACTTGTTCCAATTATTTATATTAACTATAATCCTGAGCTTTGTCTTTTGATCTTTATTAAAAAAAGTTGAGTTTACTTACCTAATATGTCAATTTAGCTTTTAGGATACTTACCAAATTCACATTCAGATGTCAACTGTAAAATCTGAGCTTCTGCTATATTTTGTATTGCTTTTTGAATATCCTCTCTATCAGCAATATTTATTTTAAGTCTTACATGACATTTTATAGTTTGTGAAATCTAGATATTGAAGATAAAGGTGGAATAATAATGAAGATAATGAAATTAGAGGTGAAATGATGGTGAAGATGGTGGCAGAATGATGGTGAAGATAGAAGTGGAATAATAATGAAGATAATAAAAATAGAGGCAAAATGAATGGTAAAGATTGTGGTAGAATGATGGTGATGAAATGGAGGCGAAAAGATGATGAAAGTGGTGAATAGAAAAGTAAAATTAGTAATTTTTGATTTTAAAATTTTAAACCTATTTTTTTTATTTTTACTAATTTTCTCTTTTATTTAGCATCAACAATTGTTCTACCTAATAAATTTTAAATAAATAATTAATTAATTATAAGACTTCCTTTTCTCATTTTGTATATATTCACAGTATTACAGTTTTTAATATTTACAGTGGTTTACAAAAGAAACGCAAGTAGAGTTCTTGCCTTTAAAAGCTTATAACTCACCAACCAAGAATGTTAGAAATATAGTTTTATATTTGTTTTAAACCTCAAAACCTATCTAATATTCAATAAAAATTTGAAGTACGATTATTAAGACCAAATATGCGCAATTTAGTGATCTATATCAAAAATTCTTATTTAATAAAATTTAAAAAGTATAGCAAATTTTTCAGTAGGCCGACTACCAAAAAACTGATATTTAATTCCGATTCTCCCCAATGCGGTGATTCTAAAAAATTAAAATTCGTCCAAATCAGATTAGTAGATCAGTGAAAAATTGATAAAGAAGATCGTCACAATATTATATAAAAATGCGTCTAACCATATTTATATATAGCAAGGGTCTCGCCACCCTATCTCAGTTGGTAACAACTGAGACCTATTGTAAGTTACACTGCAATAGACCCTAGTTCAGTCCCTGGCCAAGGCAGATCATAATAATTTAATTTACGGGATTTACCGGTTTGATTCCAGAAATGAATTTCCTAGGATGCGTACAAACTATGTACATTGAAGATTACGAATTTGTAGAATATGGTGACTAATTGATAGTTGTTTACATGAAGGATGGTAGCTCTCACAGCATAAGCTGTGTAAGGTCACTTTGTCTACACACCATGATAACAGGTAATGGTGGTAAGTAACTTAATGCATAGTGAATTAATTGAGTTTGGAACCTATGTTAAGGGGTTGGTCTGTAATAGACAAGTGTCGCATCGTCTGCAAAGGGTATCCGTGAGGGTAGGTCAATGGTAAGCATTGTATAACTTGGATTGAACAAAAGTCGTAGGTTATAGGTGATTGATATTGCACTGTCTTCAATCATTGTGATGTCTATATCACAATTAGAGTTTGAAGGCCTGGGTTCGATTCTTGGGATGATTTTGACATATGGCGAGGCAACTATGGTGTAGGCTATCATCTTAGGTTGTTCTTGACCCCCTTTTCAATAGTTGTGATGAATGTGAATGATGGTTGGGTATCATATCTCTCTATCCTGCGGGTTTATTAGTTTGGCAGTCTATTCGGATATTGACACTTATTCACCTAGGTTTAACGTCAACTCAAACTGGTTTAAAATATAGCAAAGGGGGGGTTAATAGTGGAATTAGACATGTTGTAAGACGTATCATTCTGTTGAAGGGTATGCATCTGAATATATTACCACTGGTGCGTGCTTAGTAAAAGTATAAAAAAAAATATTTATATATAGCACGAAGTGATCTTGTAAATCGATTTTTCATTGATCTACTGATCCGATTTGAACAAATTTTAGCTTATTAAAATCACTGCACTAGGGAGAATCGGAATTCAATATCGGTTTTTGGGTAGTCAGCCTACTGAAAAATTTTCTATGGTGGCTATCACTTATAAACCGCACTAGTCCGAAATTTTGAATGGCGATTTCACGTGACTTTCACGTGACTTAA